ATGCCCGGGTGGGTGTGGCCCAGTGGCTGGGTGTGGCCCATTGGGTGGGTGTGGCCCATTGGGTGGGTGTGGCCCATTGGGTGGGCGTGGCTGCAGTGGTAAAGGCACACTGGGTGGGACTAAAAAGTTCAATCAATCCATTCCAACTTTGCAAGATCTTATTTTTCCCGCGAGAAGTTCAAATTGACTGATTGAATCTTTTTTTTTTGCACATGGTGACAGAGGTCTAAAGTGAAAAGGTTTTATAAAACCCAGCTGAAGGCCTAGAACTGGGGCGACGGCACGCATGCCCACAGAGGGCTCTAAGTGCTGCCTCTGGCACCGGTGCCATAGGTTCGCCACCACGGTGTTAGACAATAGATTTATCATAAATGCATCAGAATATATCTAGACCAGTGGTTCTCAACCTGTGGGTCGGGACCCCATTTGGAGTCGAACGACTATTTCACGGGGGTCGCCAAACAACGCAGTCCGCCATTTTTTTCCCCTTTTCCTTAGCTGTGCTACTCCCTTTTATTCTATTGGCTTTTGAAAGCCAATAGAATAGACTCTCTTGAATAGAGTCTAATTCTATTGACTTTCAAAAGCCAATAGGAATTGTCCAGGCTGTCTCTGCCCTGCTGAGCCCACCAAAAGTCCCATTCTGCAAACAGTGCTGCACCAGATGAGTAGTCCTCGAATTACGACCGGTTGAGTAGTCCTCGAATTACGACCGGTTGGGGGGTCGCGGCATTAAAAAGGTTGAGAACCACTGATCTAGACTAAGACAAAGAAGGCAGCAGCAATATTTTTAGATGCAGAAAAAGCTTTTGACAACTTAGGATAGTTATTTTTTTTCAGAGGCTCTAAATAAAATGAATCCCAGAGAAGAATTTAAAACCTGGGACAGAAGTTATATATATCTACAATAAAAGACAAATACTATAATAAATGTAACCTTTTCTACACATTTTTCAATATGTAAAGGTACAAGGCAAAGATATCTATCCTCTTTCTCCTATACTATAGATAATTGCTTTGGTACTCCTAGCCAACAAAATCTGAAAAGATAAACAAATAACCAGGATTAAAAGTCAAGGAGAATATACATAAAATGAAGTGCCAGGCAGATGATAGGGTCAATGAACTATAGGTTAATGAGGATTACTTTATATGACTATATCCAAGGAAAGATGTACAGTGAAAATGAACAGTGCTGGTTGGGATCTACCTCAAAAGGACAGGAAACTACATAATTGATTTTGGTCAATCTTATTCAGAAGAGGTTCTTTGGTCTGTTAAAAAATTGGAGGCAATTTGGTTTACCCAACTGGCCCATTTCTATAGTTAAGTTGGTCTCTGATTAATTTAGCTGTGATCATCAGTATCAGTGAACAAAAGTGTCTATGGAGATTCTCTCATCCAGGTCATAGTTATCCCAAAGGTACTTTTTCACAAGGCAACTGGACTTTCTTGTCTATCTCCAGTATACAATACAGTCCTTCCAGCAGTTCCAAGAAGGCTCCACACCCATTTGCACTACTCAGTGAAGATACAGATAAACCTCTAGGTGGCCTCAACAATTCTATAAAAGAATGCAAATTACCAGCTGTCTGCAAGGAGTATAAATCTTTCCATTCCCCATCATCCAATCAGAGCTGAAGAAGCTTCTTGGATGAGAAGCAAAACGTCTTCAAAGAAAAACAAGAAAGTCTAGTTGCCTTGTGAAAAAATACCTTTGGGACAGTGAAGGCTTTGTGGAAAATATATAAAATGTCAATGAAGTTTCAGCAAGAAGAACAGAAACAGCTTGAAGTGGAACCACTTAGAAATAGAGGCAAGGGTTTTACAAATGGTGTCAGTTTTGTAACTGCTGCCTCTAGAACAACGGATCCCAACCTTTTCTATACCCCTAGAATGCTTCTGATATATTCTCACACCCTTTACAAAAGTTCAAAATAACGGCAACGAATTATGCATATACACTATAATTTTGAAAACCCAAGTTTTCACATCCCCTGGAATATCGTCTTGTACCCCTGGTTGGGAATCCCTGCCCTAGAACATGGACTAATGGAAAATAACTACTGCACTCTATATGCTTTCACAAATACTAGATAACTCATAGGCTAAGAATGCTGCCGAAATACTGTTAAAAAAATGATATTGGGGCTAACCATAGTTGTTCAGTGGGTACAGTTATACCAATTACAATGTTTCTCAAGCTTGGCAAGTTTAAGATGTGTGCACTTCAATTCCCAGAAATCCTCAGCCAACATTGCCCTAAAACAGTGATGGCGAACCTTGTAGAGACCGAGTGCCCAAAATCCACCCCATCCCGTCTGCCCCCACTCCCGCATCGCCCGTCCGCAGGGCCACCCACCACCTCCACAGCCCGCCGCAGATCACTCAGTGGTCCAGCAGCGCCATGGCGGCCACACCCTCCACCCGCGCCCTGCAGTATCATCTGCATGCGAGGGTGGAGTCTTATCCCCACTGCCATGTCCTTGGCTGAGCTGCAGTGTGTGGGCCACACCTGGGGGCAACTCTCCTGCGGGGGGCTGCTGGTGAGGAGGGGGCCATGGGGGGAAGCAGGGCTTCAATTTTGCAGCCTAGAATTTGGATCACATCCCAAACATGCCTGGAAACATTAATGCTGGGTTAAGGGGCCACAACAAAATATGAATATCAATTTAGAATTACATTTGTCCCATTTCATTCATTATGAAAAAAAAATGCATCAAGCTGCAAGAAAGTACATTAGTCTCCCTGCAGCACTCTTCAAATATACTGACAAATGTCTCTTTTGAAAGCTAGAGAGCTATTACCAGTTCAAAGAATCAGACATCCCCAATTTGGTGCTCACCCATTGAAGTGTTGCACTATACTTCACATATTAAAATTTGCAGTCCCAGCACATAGGACAAAGCAACATGCTTTATGGATGATCAGCCTTCTGCTCATGTTGCAGCTTGTCCTCCTTCTCTTAGCAGTCTTCACCACACATGTCCAAATGTTCTCCAGAAGATCCATTGGATCTTCAGGCCAGAACACTGGAGGACAAAGGACAATGCTAGAAGAGAAGAAATCCATTGCCTTGACAAGCAGATGCAATTGGATGCAATCCAGAGGAGGAATAATACAGGATATTAGATTGCTTAATAATGGTGAAAACTGTGCTCAGTTTTGTAGGACATGCCCCACCGCCATTTCTATATCTACAATTTTTGCAATATTCCTAGGTATTTCAGTAACTTGGTCTCAGAGCAAATGATCTATAATTGCTGGGTTAAGCAGGGCAGGGCAGCTTTCTAACAAGTGGCTAGGTAGGATTGAGATTTTAAATGTGCTCAAACTTTTCCAGGCTGCAGAACCTGTTAGTTACAAAAAAATCCCAGAAGTTATGATTCAAAGCACAAAGTTATAGTGACTAAAAATTGGCTCTGCTCAAGTGATTTTTTTTTCCCCTTGTTAGTCTTTCACAAAAACCACTGCAATTTCCCACAGAATCCAGGGTGTGCCACAGCCTTGACTTCTGTCCCAGAACACACACTGAGATGATCCTGGTCAGGAATACAATATTATTCTATCTTCCTGTTGTCACCATTCGGGGCAAGGTTTAAGTAGCCGTATTTACAAAGCAGGAAGGATATTATAAAATGATCTACCTATAACCAAGGTAGCACCCACTCATTTACTATCCAGAAGATGTGCAATTTTCAGTCTTGTTTTGAAGCATCTCGGCCCCATAGGATTGCCACAAGCTTCAGCCATGTGGAGTACACCTTTCCATTGACTTGCCTGAAAATCAACACAGAGTTGTCCAGAGTGATCAGGGTTTGCCCTGAGCTTTGAAGAGAAAAATTATCCCTGGATCCATAGTGAATTTAATTGCACTTCCCATTAAACACTCTGCAGCAAGAAACAATTCTGTACACCTTGAAATGAAATTTCAATGATGAAAAAAGACACAAATCCTCACCATCGCATGGCATCAAAATCATTTGCCCCCAAAATAAGCCTTTTGCTTTTTTGGGAATTATCCCACTAGCTTAGAAGGTACTTCCTAATAAAATTCTGAATGAACCCATGACTGATACTAGTTTAGGATTTTAGCTGGACAATGCCAATTGCTTACTTGTGAGTAGTTTCCTCCACAGAACTGAAACTCTGCACAGGAAGTAATGCCTGATTCCTATTTACACACCAAAGCGAGGTTAGTGAACATACTTAAACCTCATTATCTTTCAGCATCGTATTTTGCTTTGAGAAAAGTCTTCCCCCCCCCCCGTTCCCTCCCCCCGGGATTGGAGGGACCTATTTGCCAAGAAACGTGCAACAGGACTACGTTCCGAACAAACCATGTTGCAACATTTGCTTGCAACGTTTAGGAGGGTAGGAAGAAGCCTCCGGTTTCTGCAGAGAGACAATTCGCCCTGTTGGAAGAAGGCGAGAAATTATGGGTGTTTTTTGTGTGTGTGCTTTCAGGTTGGAGGGGGCTCCGCAGGCATCCAAAGAGGGTTTTCAGACTAGGGGTGGGAAGTGATGAGAATAAAAATGGGTGGGGGTGGGGGAAACCAGTTCTATGCGAAGTTAATTTATGGCCTTGGAGGGAGAGGGAGAAATCTGGAAATTGTAAGAAAAAACAGGAAATAAAGGATTCAGGCAGAAGGGTCCCCGGGCAGAAGATTTGAGGTGGGGAGTTTCCTATGCTTGTTTGTTTGGAAGTAAATCTCAGTATTTTTCCACAGTAAACGTTCATGGGGATTGAAAGGCGTAATCCGATAGGTATTTCTTCCGAGTAAATACTCGGAAATACTGCGGTCATTCAGGAACCGAGTTAAATAGGGATTTCCCACGGATGTCTAAATGTAAGGGCTACTTATTTCGAAAGTTCGGCCAATTTCATTAGAAAATGAATTGTAAGGCGTCTTGAAGGCATTTTTAAAATGCGGTGAAATCAATTGCTTCAGCCTGGGTTCATTCAAATCACATTCGCACGTTAGGGATTAGGAATTAATCGAAAAGCAAGATGTAAAAATTATGGGGATGGGGAAACACACCCACGCGCGTGCAATTATAACATGAGTCCCTGCAATTTTTTTTTAATGGTGCAAGATGGAAAGCAATGCTTCTGAAGAAAACTGCTCAAGTAATGGCGCTGGGATCAGGAAGATTGAAAATAACGTGGAAATTGGATATAAATAAAATAGAGAAATCAAAATATATAACTGAATTTGAGAAACTGAAAAAAACGGTTCTGGTCTAAGATTGGTGGAGGAATTGGGATAATCTAATGAGGGGAGTTTGCTTTGCTATAAAATATTATGTACATAAATACCCAAGCAGGTTATGTCAGTCATTTATGGCACAGTAAAATCTTAATCAAATGAAATGTATATTTTTTTAAAAGAATCTGCTCACCTCTGGAGATCTTTTTCTTTAATTTGCCATAGGCAACCAAAACGATTAAAAGAGCATAATTGAAAAAAGAGGATTAGAAAGAGAAAGAATCACAAGGACTTGTACCACTTGAGAGATAATCCAGAGTTGAAAAAATGTATGTGTTGCCAGCATGTGAGATCAATTAATACTGAGAACCTAATTTAACTTTTCTAAAGTATGAGACGGAATTAAAGTGTAAGTGTGCTAGACAGTAAAATATTAGGCATTGGGCCTCTTTAAAAAAAGATCAAAATCTTAATATTTAACCATGATGTTTGAGTCTTGCAAGCATGTTTGAGTCTTGCTTGCAAATTAGGACAAGTAATGTTATGCTTTTGAGTTTTTGTAGATCACTGCTTTGGGTGGATGAGGAAGATTTTTAATGTTACTGTATAGCACATGAATTATGCCTTGTAAAGTGTTTGCCCTCAGGTTAAAATAGAAAGTGCACTTTTATAGCCAAGAACTTTCATTTGGTTTGGAAAGTTGCCAAAGCAGGACAAAAAGCAGGGAGATATGATTTCATTGTTTACCATTTCCTTTTAAAAGCTCAAAAGGATTAAAAAAAAACAAACTCTAATATGGTCCTGACCCAGGGTTAGAACCAGATGATAGCAATAGCACTTAGACTTATACACTGCTTCATAGTGATTTACAGCCCTCTCTAAGCGGTTTACAGAGTCAGCATATTACCCTCAACAATCTGGTTTCTCATTTTACCGACCTCGGAATGATGAAAGACTGAGTCAACCTTGAGCCAGTGAGAATCGAACTCTGGGCAGTGGGCAGTGCGCAGAGTCAGCCTGCAATACTGCATTCTAACACTGCGCCACCAGTGAGTAAGTGTTGAAAAATGGCCCAGTCCTAGTAGGCCAGGTATGTCAAACTGCCGGCCTACAGGCCGGATGCATCACCACGAAACCGCGCCCACCCCGTTGCTAGCAATGGGGGAAAAGTCATGATACGTTGCATGACATCACAGGATGTTGTGAGTTTGACATGACTGTAGTAGGCTATTGATATTGCTCTTACTGGTCCCTCTAAAGCAGTGGTTCTCAACCTTTCTAATGCCGCGACCCCATAATACAGTTCCCCATGTTGTGGTGACCCCCAACCACTTATACATCACTGGGTGCCAGGGGCGTGGCCAAAGAAAAGGGGGAAAAAATGGCAGACAGCCTTGTTTGGCGACCCCCGTGAAATGGTCGTTCGACCCCAAATGGGGTCCCGACCCACAGGTTGAGAATCACTGCTCTAAAGTTTACCAACTCTGGGGACAGAATTGAAATAAAGATAGAAGTAAAGATAGAAAACTATAATTCTTTGCCTGGTTTGACTGGAAAGTTGCAATTCAGATCTGGCAGATATGTAATGGTGGTCATATGGATGGCATGTTGGTTCATAACACGGCTATGATAATTAGTGTAATCAGCATGATAATCAGCAGCTCATTTATCGGAAGGTTACCTGCTCCTTTACTCTCTCAACTCTTGCTGTGTTCTTGACTATTTTAGCTTACTTTTGCCCATCTTCTCAGGATTGATTTGTGAGCAAAGCATTGTGCTACAGCCACTTAATTTTATTTTCTAATAATTTCTTTTCAGTGTATATGGGACTCAGATCCATCCATGCAAATAAGGAGAATGTTAGAGGCTCCAGCTTCCCATTTATTTGTTATTTTTATTCTTAAAAGAAAACTAAAACTAAGTGGGGCAGGAAAGGTGGTACTGTACTTCTAGGAAAATATTACCTCCCCCTAACACTTTCCTTTGTGGTTCTTCCAGTTCTTTTTTTCAGTACATTAAGATCACAATGGATCACCAGGAGGACACAGAACCTGATGAGCATTTCACTAAAATCAAAACTGAGGAACGTGTCCAGGACAAAACGCAAGAGGGTAGCTGTAACTATCCAGAAAAGATTGAAGATGTCCATTCCATCTTGTTCAAGAAAGTGCTGGAAGAAGTTGATAAGCTGCCCCCATCATCTTCAGAAGGAGAGAAGAACTTCATTTTGTTGAAGACCGTGCATTTGAAAACAGAGAAAGATAATATCCAGGGGCCTTGTTTAATTGATCACCCAGTGGAGCTGCATACTATGTTGCAAAGAGAGACAGATTTCATCCGCTCGTTGGAGGGAATGCCCGATAGCATAGAGATTCAGGAGAACCCAGGGAAAGTCCAGACAATAAGTTTGGCAGAAAGCATTTATGCACTTCATGAGATGGAAGTGATCAGTGGTTCAAAAGGCAAACCAGGATTTCAGGAAGAGAGATGGTCAATTGAGAAGGATCCATATATTCCTCAGGTAACTTTTGTTCTTGATTATTCATTACAAGTAGACCTCAATTTATGACCACAATTGGTACCAACAAAGGAGAAAGTTTGTAGCTCAGGGTTGTAATGAGGGGTCCTTGGTGCTTTCTAAACTTGGTTGTTTTCTTGCAGACATTTCATTACCCAGACTAGGTAGCATTATCAGTGCTAGTAAGGAGTGGGGTGTGCTCTCAGTTTATAGCTTCATAACATATGGATAGATTTAAGCATAATTTCAATTAGGAAACTGACCATCCTAGACCAAGCCAAATCTAAAAATGCTAGGGAAGCCTGGCACTCTGACAATAGACACATAGACATAAACAATATCTACGTACTATACCAGGGATAGGCAACCTTGGCTTTTTTATGACACAGCTGGCTCAGGAATTCTGGGAGTTGAAGTCCACGAGTCATAAAAGAGCCAAGGTTGCCTACCCCTGTACTATACAAAAGAGACAATCAACAAGCCAAAAAGACCAAAACACCTCCCTACCAGCAGTCAGCATCCAGATGAGCATAGATTAACTCGATTATCATCAGACCAACAATCAAGTAAACAATACTCCAATCAAGGGACTGCCAGACAAACCAACAGTAAACAGCCCAACTAAAGAACCTCTGAGACCACCAACATTTACAGGGTAAACCATTAGAACATAAACTGAGAGCAAACGCCACTCCTTACTAGCACTGATGATGTTACGTAGTTTGGGTAATGAAACGTCTGCAAGAAAACAACCAAGCTCAGAGAGCACCAAAGTCCATAATAGGGACCAGAATTTCCATTGTTGAGCAAGGAAGTGCAGGGATTTATACTGATTTTTTTTTGTCATATTGAAGTTAGAGAGAAAAAACTGTATTAGTATGATAGTAGACACTACGCATCTGATGAAGTGAGCTGAAGTTCACAAATGCATTAAACTTTAATGTATTCTGAAAAAAAACCCTATGACGGCCATTCTGGAAAATTACAGATCTGAATATCTGAGCTTCGTCCTTAAGGTGCGAAGAATGGGATACTCTGATTGGTTTTGCTATGCAGTAGGGTGATACAAATAAAACAACTTGCATAAAGAAACCGCAAGAGGAGCAACAATACAGATTTGAAGGGGGAAAGGAAATTCAGTACACACAAGGATATTCACATGACATCCATCAGCAAGTCATTACAGAAGCTGCTCCTGAAATCTTGGGATTCTGTCCCAACAAAAGACAGATTTGGTTTAAAGAGGAGATGCCAGCAAGCGTAATGTGAGCCCTCTTGGGTTCTCCAAATACCACTTTCCCTTCTGAATCAGATCACTGCACAGCCCTTGACATAGATGTCCAGTGAACCCAGCATGAGGATTCTTAATACAAATTGCTCTGACATTTTCCTAAAAGAGCATGGAGTCTATAAATCCAAGGCCGATGTCTTGCAAGCAGTGGAACAGATGTGAAATGTTTCTGAAAGTGATGCCACCCACCAGCAAACAGACACTCCTTTTCTGCATTACTGATGGAACACATAAGGTCGAAGAATTATTGCAAAAGCTTTGTCTCCTGATTGCATCCAGGAATAAACGTCTCAGCAGTAAAAAAATTCAGCAGATATATATTCTAAATAAGTTTCTGTTTATACTATACAGTCACCAGGTTTTCATCAAAAGATCTGAAATCCATATCTGCTAAAAATTTCCATGGGTCAAACAACTGAACCAAGTGTATAAATTTTAAAATACATCACCAAAACAGAACTAATTCCTCTGAAAACTTCAAAGGAGGGGTGGATGACCAATGGGATATTTGGGGAGAAACGTTATTGGGTGGGGGGAACACCCTGCTACTGTTTTGGAATGCAAGGCATACTTTAAGATCAGTCTTTGCTCATTGGAAATATACCATACAAAGATTTTTACAACAATCTGCAGGCAAAAACATGCTAGTAAATTTGGTCATGTGACCTCAAGGTGCCTCAAACAGTCATAATTATGGCCCTATTGCCAAGAACCTAAAATATCATGATTGTGGGGGGGGGGAGATGTCAGAATTTCAAAACCAGATGATAAAGTCCTTTTTCGGGGGTCTGTTGTAACTTTAAATAGTGGCTAAGTAAACAGTCATAAATTAAGTCATAAGTATACTAAGAGAGAGGGATATGAGTCTTTCATTTACATAATTTGTTGTGTAGCTTTTTTTCTTCCTTTTTTCTTTTTTTTATTATTTTCTCTGTTTTTCTTCCCTTTGTTGTGTTATATTAAACAAATATAGCAAAAAATATTGTACAGTTAGTCCTCAACTTACAATAGTTCATTTATTGGCCATTCGAAGTTACAGCGGCACTGAAAAAAAATTACTTATGACCATTTTTCACATGATCGTTGCAGCATCTCCACAGTCAAGTGATCAAAATTTAGACGCTTGACTCATATTTATGACGGTTCAGTGTCCTCGGGTCATGTGATCATCTTTTGCAACCTTCTGACAAGCAAAGTTAATGGGGAAGCCAGCCTGTTGTCCTAAATTAGCAACTGCAGTGATTCACTTAACAAATGTGGCAAGGAAAGCCGTAAAATGGGTCAAAGCTCACTTAACAAATATCTCACTTAGCAACATAAATTCTGGGCTCAGTTGTGGTCATAAGTCAAGGACTATCTGTAATGACTTCTAAATGATATGGTGTAAGATAGGGGTCTTCAATTCTGAGAGTTGAAGTCCACAGTCTTAAAGTTGCCAAGTTTGAAGACCCCTGGTGTAAGGAATTATCTTTCTGGCTGTGGATGCTGTCCCCATTGAAATCGGATTGGCTTCATGTATATTGTATATATTTCTCCTTTAAACACAGGTTGATAGAGAAGAAAATAGAGCTGGAGATGGAGGCAGGGACTGGCAGCTCCTTGTAGCCGAAGAGGGAAGAATTGCTTCTCAGCCTGACTCTGAAGCAACAGATATTGCAAATGGAGGAAATAAAGCCACGCTGTTGCACAATTCTGAAAGTAAAGCCCAAAGCAAGGACAGTATATCCCAACCTCCTGTTGCAATAAGCCGTGACGTTTCTTTAGAAATCCAGGAGGACATAGTTCAGCAAGGGAAAGGTATAAAATCACTTGCATAGTTTTATTTTTAGATACCTATGGTTGTAAAGGGAAGGACTTCCAGTTCCTTGAGGAACATTGACATCAGCAGCAGGCTCTGAGCTGTTATTGGGAAAGTGGGTGGACTTTCACTCCAATCAGCAGAAAAGCTCTTAACAATGTTTGCTCCTCCTCCTCTTCCTTTTTCTTGACTTGTTGCCTTTTAATTCATTTACCTATAATTATCTCTGTGTAGGTAACTCAGCCTGAACTCATGTTTTTACTGTTAAGAGTGTTCATAATACGGTCAATTGACTACTCAATAAAACTATAGAAATATGAATTATTTGAGCAGATGTGTAGGAGAATCCACACTATAGAATGTTTCATTTGTTTCTTACTGAAGGCATAAGAAACTCAAACAATGAACAACCTTTCGGGATTATATTAGGTTAATTATTTAGTTTATTGCCTTGAATAGAAATCTTGATCCATCTACTTAAGGTAGGGCTCTCTTCTAGGGCAGTTCTCGTTATTTTTCCCCAAGCCTTGATATTTTTTAATTTGTTATGTATGGGTGCCACTCTTCCTCTAAAAAGCAAAAGACTATACGTATGGTTCATTTCTTTCTTTTGTTTTTATTTTAGATTTTTTTTAGCTTGCCTTTATTATTTTTTATAAATAACTTCAGGGTGGTGGAACATACCTAATGCTCCTTCCTTCTCCTATTTTTCCCACAACCACAATCCTGTGAGGTAAAATGGGCTGAAAAAAGTCATCCAGCTGGCCTTCATACCTAACAAGACTAGAACTCACCATATCCTGGTGATTATTCCAAAATCACCCAGCCATTATTCCAAAATCACCCAGCCAGGCCTGAACTGGGACTAGATCTCAACGTCTCCCAATTATGGGCCCCAAATCACCAGCTTTTGTGCCTAAGACGGGACTAGAATTCACAGTCTTCTAATGATTGGCCCAAAGTTACCCAATTGGCTTTCATGCCTAAGACAAAACTAGAACTCCCAGTCTCCTGATTTTCAGTCTGATGCCTTAGCCGAAACTAGTTCTCTTCCTCTCTTGTTGTAATTACTTTATGATGTAGTTAAAACTGTGAATCTTTCTTCATTACAGTATTACAAACATAGCCTGCCAACGTCTTTTCTCTGTCATGTTCCCACAATGCTGCTTTTAATTTATCCTCTGCTTCCAGTTCTGTACGAGGGAGCCTCAAGTTTTATAAAATACCTTTACTTTGTCACCCATTCACTTGCAAAGGTAGCCCGAGTCCTAGAGCGGTGTTTCTCAACTGCAGCAACTTTTAGTTGTACAGATTTCAACTCTCAGCTGAGAGGAATTCTGGGAGTTGAAGTCAACACATTTTAACCTTGCCAAGGTTGAGAAACGCTGCCCCAGAGTAACTTGGGACAGGCAGGAGAGGCAAGATAAGGCTCAGTGATGAGACAGCATTTTTCTTGCCAAAATAGTATCTTGCCAATTCAAGGTTTGGTGGGCAGCACAGCTAGACAGTAGGGGAAAATTTTTAGATGCATTTATCTCAAAATAAGATGCTAAATATAAATATGAACTTGGATCTCCCCAGCTCCAAGCCTGGTATTCAGATCTGTGCAGAAAGAGGAGATTGTTTAGATTGTGTTAAAACAGGCCAAAGGTGTAGCAGATAAGTATGAAAAATGAGTGAACTCACTTGATGAGTTTTGTACAGACAAAGGAGAAAATACATTCAGAATTGTTTTTAAGTATACAGGCTTAAAGAAAAGGCATGCTGCAGAAATAGTTTATTGGAAAATGAATGAAAAAATACTGAAGAAATAAAATTGTGGAGAAATTTTTGGTGATTACTTACCGCATCAGCCTAAAACATGTCAGAAGTCTTTACCAAACTCATACCTGAATTGTTATTTTGAAGTACTCCTTTTAAAGTACTTCAACGTGCATAAGTAAAAGGTATAAGTGATTCAGTTTTACAAATAAAAAATCTAGTGTCACTTAGGAGGACATTTAACAAAGGGCTGTTAAAGAATGCAGCTGTGAAATGGTTTATATTTCAGATACAACACACAACATCACTAAATCCAGGAACATCTGTGGGGGATTCAGAAAATCAAGATGGTGCTTGTCTTAATAAGATGAAAATCCATCTAAAACATAATCCATCTGCCTTTGACTTGTCATAACAATTTATATAGCCATCCATCTTACAATTTTGAGTAATGCAAACTGCTCACAAATATACGTAATATAAGAAGGCAGGGATTATATTTATGGAATTATTTACTTATGAGAAATCTGTTTAGATCAACTTTCTGGATACAAAATTGTCACACTTCTCCCAAGCCTTCTTAAACAATAGATTCACTTTACAACTGTCACAACTTATTACCATAATGGGCTAGCTTCATTATAATCATGAGGACTAGTATTTCCCCACCCCATATTAACTGTGTTGATAATCATCCCTTGTGCAATCTCTGATTTCAGTAGACATACAAAAGATGCTTTTATTGGATTAATCTCACCTTAAGATCATTAGAAGATATAATTAATATTTTTTGAATTTCTGTGCCATTGATTTGCTAGAGTTCATATCAATTGCTCAAAAACAGATAGGTAATAGCGCTTCTCCTGAAACATGTAAAATTCTGTCAGGTAGCTATAAGCAGAGGCAGTCGTTTAATTTGCCCAACCCAAACTTTTTAAGCTTTTAAAAACTACTCAGAAGAGCTCCAGCAACCAGACTTGTCACTGTAGTGTGTTACATAGATTGCCTACACCAAAGTCAGAAAAAAGATCTGTAAAATTTGATTCTGGTCCAAGATTCTTGCAATGTAGATAAGCAGGAAATGGCCAGTGGTGCATTTGAAGGCCACTAATTGCCTTCTTTCCATCTTAAATTGCATGAAATAAGAGTTCGAATCCTTCTGGTCCAGCAGTTTGTCACAAGTCACCAAGCCAAAGCTAGTGTTGCAGGCTGATTGATGATAATAGCTGGGATTTAAGGTGATTTCTCAAAGAATATGTCTAGTCTTCTTTTAAAACCATCTAGTCTTTTTAAAAAAAAACTGTCTAAAAAGATAACAATAACCACATCGCATGGCTGAGCTATAGAATATCTCAATCCTTCTAACATGGTGTTTTCCAGATGGCATGGGACTGCGTTTGTGGAATCACCATTTAGTCAGGGTTTGGTGAATCTGGGAGGGCAGTCCCAAAATATCTGTGGAAGATAGCAGGTGGGGACCAGCTGCAAGGGTTGAGGGTGGCGACGTTATTTTATACTGGTTCTTTCTTCATGGCCAGTTCCAGTTGGTGTTGATCAGGAATGGGAAGTCTCTCTCTTGGCCCCTAAGTTGTGGATGGCCACAGGATTCGGTACTTTCTCCACTCTGCTAGGTGAGGCATGGCTGGCTGGGGAATTCTGGGAATTGAAGTCCAGAGGTCAAAGTTGCCAAGGTTGGACATCCCTGCTCTAGAACATCATTTACCCTAAAGTCAGATCAGCTCCAAACCCATTGTTCTTCTGGAAGAGTCTGAAGACATGACTATATCATCTATCTGGGTTGAGGCCACCTGGATCTGGGAATTTACAATTTTTAGTTTGTTAACATGGATATGGAACCTGCAAAGAAGCTGTCTTGCTAGAAAAATTGAGAATGTTCTCTCCCAGATTAGGGTTTTTTTTTCATTTTTTGTTTTGTTTTCATATTGATTTTTGTTATTTTATTTTATTGTCTTATGTTTTTAACTGCATACATAATTCAGAGTCATAGTGAAATAGGCAGCTATGTAAATTTACCAAATACGTAAATAAATGTTACCATTTGGGTGTGACAGGCAAGAAATGAACACTAGTGTTTTAATTAAAGGAGAGGTGGCTTTTGATAACTTATTTAACCTAGCAGCAATTTTTTTTCAGGAAGCATTCAACAACACTGCAATCTGTGTCTGTTTGCCACATTCAGTCTGTCTGACTTTAAACACCATATGAAGAAACATTCCCATGAAAAGCCACATCAGTGCCACATCTGTCTTAAAGCTTTCCGTACGCTTTCTCTGTTGCGTAACCACGTGAACACCCATACAGGTATGTCTGCCTCCCATGTAAATTGAACTCCTCAAACTGTCTCTACAGTTTGTTCCACTGTTTTTAATGACTAAACATAGGAATATACATCTCACATAAAATAGTCATCTCTTAGCTTTCTGTTTGGGAATATTTGCAACGGCTGTTTTTTGTTTATTTTTAATCAATTGATGATTATGGAAAGCTACAGTGTTTGCTTAACCTGATTAGCCAAGCCCAAAATTATGGTCTCTAAAGAACTAGTTCACTGGTTCTCAACCTGTGGGTCGGGACCCCATTTGGGGTCAAACGACCATTTCACGGGGGTCGCCAAACAACGCAGTCCGCCATTTTTTCCCCTTTTCCTTAGCTGTGCTACTCCCTTTTATTCTATTGGCTTTTGAAAGCCAATAGAATAGACTCTCTTGAATAGAGTCTAATTCTATTGGCTTTCAAAAGCCAATAGGAATTGTCCAGGCTGTCTCTGCCTTGCTGAGCCCGCCAAAAGTCCCATTCTGCAAACGGTGCTGCACCAGTTGAGTAGTCCTCGACTTACGACCGGTTGAGTAGTCCTTGACTTACGACCGGTTGGGGGTCGCGGCATTAAAAAGGTTGAGAACCACTGAACTAGTTTGTCCAGACAAAGTTCTCCACCAACTTTCTTGGTACGGGATTTGCAGAGACTGGAGCACTGGTATGTTTTGCCATTTCAGAGCCGGCCCTGCCATTGGGCAGAGTGAACAGGGTGGATTCATTTAAAAACAATTTATATATGTACATACCCATGTACTCTTATTCCCTTTCAGGGTAAATAGCATAACGCAAAGTGCAGTAAAAGAAAAAGAGTTACAAAGTGATAAGCAAAAAAAATAAAGAGGAAAGATAAAAAAGGAAAAGAAATATACCTAAAACCAGGGCTTTTTTTTCTCATAGAATGCCCAGAACAGAGTTCCAGCACCTTTTTGGGATGGAACCTTGTAGGGTAGGCAAGGCGGGTTGTATGACATGTGTGAGTCCTGGCACCTTTTTTTTTTTTTTACAAAAAAAGCACTGCCTAAATCTATTTCATATCAACACCATTTAGTATGCTTCACCATATCTTTTTGTCATTGCAGGCTAGCGTTGCTTTCTTGCAATTGTACGGGTAGTCCTCAGCTTATAACAGTTCATTTAGTGACCATTCAAAGTTACAACGGCATGACCATTGCAGCATCCCCATGGTCACAGATCAAAATTTAAATGCTTGACTCATATTTATGACGATTCAGTGTCCTGGAGTCATGTGATCATCTTTTGCAACCTTCTGATAAGCAAAGTCAATGGGGAAGCCAGATTCACTTAACAACTGTGTAATTAACTACTGCAGTGATTCACTTAGCAACTGTGACAAGGAAAGTCATAAAATGAGGCAAAATTCAATTAACAGATGTCTATTTTAGCAACAAAAAAATTTTGGGCTCAATTGTAGGTGTAAGCTGAGGACTACCTGTATGTTACTTCAGACATTGCTTCCTATTCTTTAAGGATTTCACCCCTTTCTGTTTGAGGATATTTTCAGATTCATTCGTCTGTAACTTTCTTAGATCCTCTTGACTCATATATTCTTGATACAGATATATTTGATCTGCAGTTTGAATCTCATTCATTCTTTCTATAGAGCAAACTCCTTCAACATATTACAATACTGAACATTCAAGTCGAGATTCATTCGGCATCCATTCATTTTTACCCTATTTTTTTCTTGTTTTACTATGCACACTTCTTACATATTCCATTTCTACCGCATTCAGCTTGCTTTTATGTTTCTCCTGGTATACTCAGCTGTCAATTATATATCATAGATTAGGCCAAAACACAACCGTATTTGTTTTTTTCAACATTCATTTCTAGTAGGCCACAAGCCACTCATCTCTTTCTATAGGCACTTAACAGTCTTAATGCATGTTCTACATCTTTAAGAAACGTTCTTGAGGTATACAATTTCATCTGCTTTCTCCACTTTTTCACCATTTATGTATCATTTGTAATATTTCAGTCCATTGCAGCTGTTGCCACTAGAATGAACCTTTCGTTTAACAAGCTGCAGTTTAATAGACTTCAGATTATATTACTAAAATTCTCATATCTTTAACTGGGGAAAATAATGCATCATCGGGCATCATTTTGCCCAATTAAAGATATGAGAATTTTAGTAATATAATCTGAAGTCTACTAATTAACTTTTGACATAGGGCAAAACTGTTTCAACCAAGTAGCTCAAATGAGCCAATTTGCAGAATGTGTCCAAAATCTGGGACCCCGTAACTCCTGTGGAACTGAAATTTGGCAAATTTTTAAAAAACATTTTGTGACATAAAATGTATCATAAGGCAATTTATGCCATATAACACAAGCATTTCCTGGGATCAGTTTGTGACTTTTGACTTTGCTATAAAATTTCTGATTTTTGACTATGCTATACAGTTCAACCTAGGCTACTTGCAGGGCAGATACAACTCTGAATATCTCCTTGATTTTTTAAAATTTTTTTAAGTACTTTAGAAGTTCTGCCCTTGTTGAAGACATAGAGGAATCTGGTAAGGAAACATCTCTGAAATGATGAGCCAACAGGTTGTCTAATAAAGGACAACTTGTTATCCCAATGTCACCACAGAATAATGGTCAGAGTGCAATCTCCCATTGTAATCTGGACAGTTCATATAAGTGACCATTATTTTCATCAATTTATGTTATTAAATCTAATTTGTGTTATTATATAAATCGATGCAAGTGATGCACATTTCACCATAAATTCATCCAAATAATGTACATTGATTTCACATATATTTGGTATAACACAGTATTTCTCAATCTTGGCAACTTTAAGATGTATGGATTTTAATTTCTAGAATCCCCCAGCCAACATGGCTGGCTGGAGAATTCTGGTAGTTGCAGTCCATACACATAAATACAATCTGAATAATACATCTGTCTGCTAAATTGAAATTTTACTCTACCCTGAACTTTGAAATGTGAATTTTTGATTATATTCCTGTCTATGAATTGTTGCAATTCATTCAGGTTCCCCACCAACAGCATGACATATTTGCATATTAAAGTGCACGTTCCCATCCCTAACAACATCACTGCAAAAATTCTTATCTTTGTAAATCCCAGGAGTCAATGAGAGTGAGCTGGGCAGCCATATAGATTTTCTTAAATAAATATATGCTGTATACATTTACCCTTAAGTACAATAAACAAGCAAGGATTTATCAAAAGTCTCACTATTAGTCCTTCCTCAATTTACTTAGCATTCCATTCTTTGTTATATATGCTTTGCTTTCATTGCTTCAGTTGCAACCAACTTGCAGCTCTCAAAACATTCTGTAATTCAAGCTTATTTATGATATGTGCTTTCTCTAAATCAAAAAGAAAATCATAACCTTTTCTCCTCATATTCATAAATTTCTCAGTTATCTGTTAAGAGCAAAACTCCAGTTTACATAACCTGTCTGGCATAAAGCCATAGTGTTATTCCAGATTCTATTTAATTCATTAATTTATTTATCAAATGTCTACACTTTTATTTATTTACCTTTATCTATTATTTAATTATCATACTTCTACACTTTTATCTTTGTTTATTATTTATCAGATTTCTACACAGTTTTGTTCATTGTACCCTCTCATTCCCTTTGAATCAAATTCCTTCCCAGACATATTTAACAGACCAATTCCTTATAGTTTTTCATTCAGTCTTTCTTTTTTTCCCTTTGTGTTCTTTCAGTTGCCAGGCATGAATGCCATCCTCATACTTCGAAACAAATCACATTCAATAAGTAAATCACATCCATTCATTAATATTTCTCAACTTAATTATTTTATTTATTAATTATATTTTATTCCTTTATTATTTTAAAAAAATAATTCAAGGCAGTGAAAGGTTGGGCTAAGAGAGAGTGACTGGCCCAAGGTCACCCAGCTAGCTTTCATGGCTAAGGTGGGACTTGAACTCAGGGTCTCTTTCTAACCTAGTACCTTAACCATTACACCAAGCTAGCTCTCAGTTAACATCATTTTACATTTGCATGAGATTTCCAACAATCTCATGGTTTTAATTTTCGTCCCCTTTTTCTCTTGGACATTTAATGTTTTATTACATTCATATTGGCTCCACTCTTGGCTAATTTCTGACCTTCCCATACAGACCCCTAAACATGCTTTTCATTGTTCTCTTTCTTCAGTTTTATCCAAGACCATTTCATTAATTTTATTTTTCATTCCAAACATTTCGTTCCAAGTAGGTTTCCCTTCTTCCGTTCATTTCCAGTTTATTCTCAGATACATTTTATTTATTATTTATTTATATGCCACATTTTATTATTTTTGCCAATAACTCAAAGCGATGAACATATCCAACACATTTTTCTCAGTTCATTCTCTTTTAATACAAGACTTGCATTTTCTTTCCTGCAGCCCTTTTCTCATTGTAGTTTCACTTCTTTAATTAGTTTGTTTAATTAAGTTTACTATTATGGCAAAAAGCAGATCAAGTTGTTTATTAATTGCTTCCTACTGAGTTGGATCAGATCTATTGCATTTTTTTTTCAGAAGTCATTTTGAAAAAAAAAAAGTTGCGATATTTTTTCTCATGCTGTTTAGAAAAAAAACCCCATTTTTTTTCAAATAATTCCTCTTCCTTTTCTTTAGATAGCTATCTTTGGCAGCCAGATCAGTATTAGATATGGAGTATAGCGAGCTAGTTTGGCAAGTGGTTAAGGCACCAGTGTAGAAACCAGGAGACTGTGAAATATAGTCCCACCTTAACCATGAAACCCAGCTGGTAACTTTGGGCCAGCCACTCTTTCTCAGGCGAGTTCACCTCACAGGTTTGTTGTTCTGAGGAAAACAGCAAGAGGAAGGATTATTAGATATGTTCTCTGCCTTGAGTTGTTTTTAAAAATAATAAAGGAGGGATAAAAATAAACAATAAAAAGAATTTAAAAAGTACAGAAAATCATTGCTGCTTCGTCAGGACTACTGTTTCTCCCTGTACACCTGATGCTGCTTTTTCTCATCTCTGCCACTTGCTATTTTACCTTTTTAAAAAAATGCTAATCCTATGCACAAAATTAACAGCATTTCTAGGTTGCTTTGAAGTGTTTAATGAGTCATTTTCCTCCTTATTGGATTCCATGCCTAGGTAGATGTAAAACTAACAGCCCTGTATCACAACAAATTTCTCAGTATTCCAGGTAGATTTGGATTTAAATGTTTCAGTTGAATACATTTTGAAAGTCTGCTTCTCTTTTGCAGGGACCAAGCCACACAAGTGTAATGAATGTGATATGGCCTTTGTGACAGTGGGGGAACTTTCCCGCCACAAGCGATATAAACATACTCTGGAGAAGCCCTTTAAATGCTCCATCTGTAACTACTGCAGTGTGGAGGTAAGAAGGATTATTCTCTGCAGAATCCTTTTGCAAAGTCCTCCCTTGACTGAGTAGGGAAAGATGAGGTTTCCTTTGAAAGAGGCACAGCCATTCACGGTATGTGCATTTTAGTTAGAATCGTAGTTGGTAGGGAATTTAGAAGTAAAAGCAAGTAAAATTCCTCCCCACACACAGACATTTAACAGCGCACGTTGCAATTAGTAGAGATGGGTGGATGGGACTTTTAGGCTAGCATGATGCTAGAGTACGGTCAAGATGCAACCTAGAACTAAGAAACTTCCTGACACTGGGAACAATTAAACAGTGGAACGATCTGCCTCCAAAAGTTGTGGGTGCTCCATCACTGGAGGTTTTCAAGAAGAGATTGGACAGCCATTTGTCTGGAATGGTGTAGGGTCTCCTGCTTGAGCAGGGGATTGGACTAGAACAGGGGTTCCCAACCCCCTGTCCGTGGAGCACTACCGGGCCACGGCATGTCAGCAATCAGTCCGCACAAACAAGCAAAGCCTCATCCATGGGTGCAGGCAGCATACAAAACTACGCCCCCTTCGGTCCACAGAAAAACCTCTCTCCATGGAACCGGTCCCTGATGTCCAAAAGGTTGGGGACCTCTGGACTAGAAGACCTTCAAAGTCTCTTCCAACCATATTTTTCTATGTTCCTAAGTTCCTTAACCAAACCTGAGTGTAAGATCTAAAGCACGGGTCCCCAACTAGTATCAGGCTGTGGCCCATTTTGAACTGGGCCACACAAGTGGCGGGCGAGTGCACATCTCCACTTGCATGAGTGGGATGTGAACCTGACGCTCACGCAAATGGAGCTGCGCGTGCATGCAGAACTATCCTGGGCCACTGCTGGTCCGCAAAGCCAGAAAGGTTGGGGACTGCTGTACTAAAGTATCTCTGTCAGATGACCATTGCCCAGTGGGCAGTTAATTTTCCCAAAAGGCCACATGAGAAACTAGGACAGTTGTGGAGGACTGAACTGATGGGGCTGTGAAGGTGTGTAAGCACACATGCATATATTACATAAATTGGGGGTGGGGAATAGGTACCTTCAAAATAAAAGCAATGCAATTGTGTTGTGTGCATGGCATACACTTACTACATTTGATTTCTAATTTCCAATTGACCTCACGTTGAAAGGGCCAGATGTGACCTGGAGGCTGTAAAATGCCCAGGTCTGATCCAGCCTCTGCTTAAAGACTCTAAGCCAGGGGCAGGCAACCTTGGCTCTTTTATGACACGTGGACTTCAACTCCCAGAAATCCTGAGGAATTCTGGGAGTTGAAGTCCACCAGTCATAAAAGAGCCAAGGTTGCCTACCCCTGCCCTAAGCAAAGGCGACCTAGCCATGTGTTGTGAGGCCCTGTTCCACTGGCTGACACGTTGCTTAGTCAGAAAGTTTCTCCTGATATCTAGCCTGAATATCTTTCCTTGTGGGAAACCGTACTGAGACATCCCTCAAAGTTTTTCAGTCACCTGAAATATGGAGGGTGACCTCTGACCAGAATTGTTTACAGCCATCTTTGTTTTCATTCAGTGTTAGATTAAACCCTGTATTTGCTTGAAGACTGCTATTAATATCTTCCCTTACAGATAGTCTTGTTTAATAACCATTTATAGTTGCGACAATGATGAAAAAGTAACTTTACTACCAATCCTTCCATTTACGATCTTTGCAAGTCTAAAGCAAAAGAAAGATGAAGTAAGAACATAAGAACATTTGCTGTTCACTGAGTGATCCCTTTCGTTTAACAACCAAGTTGTGTTTGCTAAACAGCTACTTATAATTGTCTTTTCTATAAGCTAAATATATTCAGATCTTTAAGCTATAGGACTTGGTTTATAGACCCTTTACCTTTATCCCTTTCACACTTGCTAAAAAATTGTCCTTTTTTAAAACAGTGGCGCTAATTCTTTATAAGGAATATGCCTTACATGGAGGGGGGAAAGCCTCTGTGAGATACTTTTTGAAGCAAGAACAACAAAATCCCAGCAAAATACAGTGCTGAGAATTCTAGAAATACTAAGCAAATAAGAGGTTTAATCTAATGCTGAATGAAAACTAAAATGGCTGCAAGGAATCTCTATTTGAGGTCATCCTCCACCGCAGGAAGATTTGAGAATAGCTTTTGAGGCTTGTCTTAATACCTGCACTTCATTCCTGCTTCTAGTAAATAGATTTTTTTATCATGTTCAGAAATCTGTTTGCCTTGCCGGATGAAAGAAAGACAAGAAGCTTAAACCCCTTTCAATTCTTCTGAAAATAGTGGTTTGTTTCTAATCAGCATTAAAATATTCTTATGAATGTTCCATGGATAAAGTAGCAGCCTTTAGCATTGATTTTTAGAAACTAATAAAATGTCAGCCAAGGGAGAGCAGATTACAGACTTCTTTAAACAATATTTTCTTTCTTTTTTTCATTTTTCTGGTTGGAAACAACATATAAACTTGGAGAAACAATATTAAATAAAAGGAGAGTAATACAAAGGATGTGAGGATCTGTGTGTATCTCTTGTTTATCATTGCTGCATATACTCATAAAAACGCCAGTTGCTCAGGTTTGCTATGCAAATTATTTATGACATTTTTGGCCTGTTATTAAGCAAACACTGCAGTTGTTAAGTGAATTAGACAGTCGTTAAGCAAACCTAGCTTCCCTCATTGACTTTGCTTATTGGAAGCTGGATGGGAAGACTGCAAATGACAACTTGCATGCCTGAATTTTGATCATGTAACTATGGAGACGATTATAAGTGTGAGTATTGATCATACAACACTTTTTTCAGTGCTGTCGAACTTCAAATGGTTGCTAAAATAAATGTTTTTAAGTCAAGGACTAAATGTAGTCTTGTAAAAAAAAAAACAATTTTGCAGAATTGGACCTTTAATATTTTTCCTTTCATGGTTAGGATTAACACAGAGAAACAGGAGACCTATCGTATTTTCCGGCGTATAAGGCGACCCGGCGTATAAGACGACCCCTGACTTCGGCGCCGATTTCCATGCCTAAAAAGTCATCTTCTCCGCCGGAAACTACCGTAATTTCCGGCGTATAAGACGACCCCCGACTTCGGCGCCGATTTCCGCGCTTTAGAAAGTCGTCTTATACGCCGGAAAATACAGCAGTTTGGAAGGCAGCACTTTAGAATAGAGCTCTCCAAACTTGGCAACTTGAAGATTTATGGATTTCAACTCCTAGAATTCTGGGAGTTGAAGCCCACAAGTCTTAAAAGTTGTGAAATTTGGAAACCCCTGCTTTAGAAATGCAACAGCCTATCTGGTGGTGGAATTCAAATATGTGAACAACCGGTTCTCTGTGTGGATGCCGCTTCCGGATGTTCATTCTGGGCCTGGACAACAAAAAATTAGCTACCAGTTATGGTGAACTGGTGCAAACCGGCCGAATCCCACCACTAGCGACAAGCAGTGCCACTTAATAGCATTTCTAAAAAGTCAACTTCTTTTTAATGGTGAATTGTTTCAGCAGCACTCTCGATGCATTTGTAATTCAGAATCTTCTTTCATAATTGTAGGCCAGCAAATTGAAGCGTCACATTCGCTCACATACAGGAGAGCGCCCTTACAGTTGTACGGTGTGCTCCTATGCTAGTAGGGACACTTACAAATTGAAAAGACATATGGTAACTCACTCAGGTATGTATTAAAACTATAATGGCTGCCATTAAAGCAGAGTAATGCTAATGCTTGGTCCTGTGGGGCTATGAGATGCTGAGCCACTAAAGGAAGAAAGATAGGCAAGTGAGCAAAAGCAAAGCAGAACAGTTGGAAGCAAATGGTACTATAGAATAGCAAAGTCAGTGGATTTGGAGACAAAACAAGAGAAAATTATTTGGAAGAAGAGTTGGCTTCTAAAGACTTGAGGGCATGTTAGATCTGAAGTAAAGAAGACTCAAGGAAGAGCTGGTAGATATGTTCAGGTATGTAAAGGAAAGTCATAAGAAGAATGACCTCCAAGAACTGCTTCCCTTGGCCACAAAAACTAGAACCAGAATGAGGGATATAAACTGTAACTAGCAAGATTTTATTTAAATAGAAGGGGAAATGTCCTGATGCTAATACCTGAAGAGCCGTGATGGCACAGTGATTAGCATTCTGTATTGCACAGGCTAATTCTGCCAACTGCCAGCAGTTTAATCCTGATGGGGCTCAAGGTTGACTCAGCCTTCCTTCCTTCCAAGGTTGGTAAAATGAGGACCTAGATTGTTGGGGTCAATATGCTGACTCTGTAAACCATTTAGAGAGTGCTGTAAAGCTCTATGAAGCGATATATAAGTCTAAGTGCTGTTGCTATAAAGGTAGGACATTGTATCTATTGAGATTGCAGGTTCTCCATTTTTGGAAAGAAAAAAGGCTGGGCAGCTACCTGTCTTAAACAGTTTGCTTGGTTTATTTGCACATTGTAGGGAATGGTATTAAATGATCCCTGTGGTTCCTTTCAGGTTCATAATTCTATGATTCAGTGGTTGGGAGAATAGGAAATCAAGCTAGGAGACATGCTATGAAGAAACAAGGACATATGGCAACATTGAGCTTTCACTGCGCTGTTATATTATCAGCCTGCTTCCTCCTTGGTCTATTGAAATGGCAAAGACGGGATAAAGACACTATTTTGAACAGGGTTAAGGAATATATTTTTTGCATGCTGGCCAAAATAAATCTCAATATAATTGTCTGCCAGGAAAGATGAACGAAACTGATGTGCTCTTAGCAGTAAATCCATGAGTAGAAGATGGAGGGAATGAAGGGAGGGAGACAAGGAGGAAGAGATGGAGACAGGTCTCTGTGGTCACCAACTTCATCTCACAAACTCAAGGACACTTTTGTATCGCCCTGTGTTTGGCTTTGCTCTTGCCATTTTTACAACATACAAAATTCTCCAGCAGTTGACCAATGCTCCATTCAACTAATAAATTAAAAAATAAATTATAATTAAAGAATTAATGCTTTAACTAAGCCAACTCTCTTTCCAAGCTAAGCCTGATGAAATGGGGAGGAATTGCACTGTAAATCTGCTTAAATGGAGATCAATGAAATGGTGGCAAGGAAGTGGGAGAACCAAGATAGATCTCTAGGAGGGCAGATGGGCAAGAGTTCCCATGGGGGCCTGGATGCAGCATCCGTTCCAGTTCAGGGTGAGGATGGAAAAAGTAGGATCTGGAAAATATGCTACCGTTTTCAGCTGTGGCATTTTGCTCTCTAGTTTACCAGTTATTACAAGTATGTGTTGATTCAGAAACGGAACTAATTAAAGATTGTATGATCAGATGGGCGCAGAATTTTGGTGAGCCAGTTCCATTGGATACCTGGGAAACTATCTGCGTGAGAAATGTCAAATTTACACAAGCACAGAACTTAAGGGAGAATTTTTATAAAATGTTTTATAGATGGCACCTTGATCCACAAAAAATGTCTCTTATGTACCCTGACTTACAACCTAAATGTTGGAGATGTGGTTGTATGGACGCTACTTATTATCATATTTGGTGGTCGTGCAGAGAGATAAAAGCATTTTGGATTAAGATATGGTGGAATATCCAGAGAATTTTTAGAAGGAGGGTAAAATTTACTCCGCAATTATTTTTGTTGGGTATAGTTACTGATTGTGATACAAAGGAGGTTATATTGATGTTAAATTTGATTACAGCCGCAAGGCTGTTAGTAGGGCAATATTGGAAGAAGGAATCTTTGCCTACTTGCAAGAGTGGTTTCTTAAAGTGTCTTATTTGGCGGAAATGGCAAAGATTTCGGCTTTTTTAAAGGAACAAACGCAAGAGAAATTTCTTGCTGTTTGGGATAAGTGGATAAAATTTATACAATTTAAACTGGATATAAAAAAATATCATATAGCCTTTTCATAATCTTTATTTTTATATATATACATATATATCTTAATGTTATATTTTTCTTTTTTTATAAACATAATTTTTAATTGTTTTTTAATTAAGCCTATATTCTGCTCTGGAAAGCTCAGGGGGGGAGGGGGGGTCTTTGGGTGGGGGTTGGGGAAGGGGGGTTTTGTTGTGTAATGTTTAGTTTTTTCTTTGTATATGTTGTTTTTTGTTTTTGTATTGTTTTGTTTTTTTGTAAAACTTATAAAACTTTTTAATAAAAAAAAAAAAAGTATGTGTTTCCCTCTAGGAGAAAAACCCTTTGAATGTGTGATTTGTAAAGCCAGATTCACACAGGCTGGGACTTTGAAGTTCCATGTTTTGCATAAACATGGGGAAAATGTACCAAAATACCAGTGTCCGCAATGTGCCAGATCCGTTGCCCGGAAAGGCGATTTAAGTAAGTTTCATAACTTCCCCCCCCCCAAAACCTTTCTATAAAAACACATAAAGAATGAAGGTCACTGTCAGTATCCAGCTTGACTTCATAAATCTATCCGCAAAGTATCGTGCTCTGGATCGTTAATTTCCAAAGCAAGCTCTTGTCTTTTTGCAGTAAATAAACTCTGATTTCTCACTCAAAGATATGACCAGTGAACATTGTTTCTATATCTAATATCAATCATTTGGACTTAGCATGTTCCTACATTTTCACACACAGTTTTTCCTGAGTTTTTTAGGTTCTAAGTTCCTGTGTTTTAATTGGGAAAGTCACCAATGTCTTAGCACTCTGTTCTTTTTTTTTTTTAATTTTCAGTTATTTTTTTTTTCTTAGATTGCCCTGAATTCTTCTCATTATGTTTTCCAGTCCTTCTTGGCCCATTGCAAGTGTGCCCTACTATACTTGCACACAGATATAAGTACAAATATAAGTACAGCGCAAAAAAGTGCCATTGTATCTGTAGTGTATCATTTGATTTAAGTTCTGAGCATGAGTATGAATATACATTTTAAAATCGTACAGGGAAAAAGCAGGTGAGACCATCAAAAGAAGCCATGTATTAATTTTATAAAGTCTTCTGATCAAACTGCAAGGTAGACAAGGTATATCTCCTGAGAAAAAGTATTAGGAAAATCTAAGATATAGTAGTAGTAGTAGTAGTAGTAGTAGTAGTAGTAGTAGTAATAGTAATTGTCAATAAGAAAGACAAAAAAGTTTGGATAGTGGACGTGGCAGTGCCTGGAGACACAGAATAGACGAGAAAGAATTGGAGAAGATAACAAAATACAAAGACCTACAAATAGAAATAGAAAGACTGTGGCAAAGGTAAGCAAGGGTAGTACCAATAGTAATAAGCGCCTTGGGTGCAATCCCAAAACAACTGGAGCACCACTTGAACACCATTGGCATTGACAAATTCGCCATTAGTCAATTGCAAAAGGCGGCCTTACAAAGAACTGCTTCCATCCTGCAACGATATCTGTAATACCATCAAACATCCACATCTGCCTATCCCAGGTCCTGGGCAAGGACTCGATAGGTAGACAAAATGCCAAATCCCGTCTGAACATCTGGCTGACTGCGATGATCAATAATAATAAAAGTTGGAAGGGACCTTGGAGGTCATCTAGTTCAACTCCCTGCTCAGGCAGGAAATGCTATATCAGGGGTCTCTAATCTGGGGGCCGTGGCCTGGTAGTGGGCCATGGCCTACTGGTCACCGGGCCGTGGGACAAGCTGGCCAATTTGTGCGCACACCCCTCACTTGTACTAGCCCACGGGGTGCAAAAACAACGCTGTGCCACAGGGCACAAAAATGGGCTGCCACTGCACCTCAGGATGCAAAAGTGGGACACCGCCGCACTGCGGGGTGCGAAAATGGGCATAGCCACACCACGGGGTGCAAAAACGCCACTGCCATGCTGCAGGGTGCAAAAATGGACACTGCCGTGCCATGGAACTTAGAAACAAGGCACTGTGCCACGCAAGAATGGGGCTGAGCTAGTGAGTATCACATGGGCGCTAGCTCCACCCCATTTGCAGCATGTAAAATGCTTCCCCCTCCCTTTTCCTCCGGTCCGCCAACTGACAAAAGTTGGTGACCTCTGCCCTATACCATTTTAGACAAATGGTTATCCAGTCTCTTCTTAAACGCTTCCAGTGTTGGAGCATTCACAACTTCTGGAGGCAGGTTGTTCCACTGATAATTGTTCTAACTGTCAGGAAGTTTCTCCTTAGTTTTAGGTTGCTTCTCTATTTGATTAGTTCCCATCCACTGTTGTCTTGCCTTCAGGCGCTTTGGAGAATAGCGTGACTCCCTCCTCTTTGTGGCAGCCCCTGAGATATTGGAACACTGCTATCATGTCTCCCCTTGTCTCTTCATTAAACTAGACATACCCAATTCCAGCAACCGTTCTTTATATGTTTTAGCCTTCAGTCCCCTGATCATCTTTGTTTAAGTTGGTCTTTAACCTGCATGAAATAGGAGAAGGCAGTGTGGCTTTGAAAACTTGGAGAGAAAAACACTCAGTACACCAATGCCATCTTTGACGGGTTTATTCCCAGAGTTTGAGGTGAATAGGTTTCATTTCAGAATTGCTTCATTTTGTGATCTACCCCATTGATGTATGCGAAGCAATTAAAAACCTGCACTTGAGGCGTCCTTATCCTGGAGATTGTTAGAAGAAGATGACAAGATATTTGCTTAGTTGACTTCCATGAATTCAGAAATAGCTGCAAGAAGAAGTCTTTGTGTGAATGATGAGCACGCAGTAGGTCAGGGACATCCACAGTAGAGACAAAAAAATAAATAAAACCAAGACAGCTATGCAATCGTGAGATCAAAAGCCTACCCCCTTTTTATATGTGTAAAACACATGTAAAAACAGATATAGCTTTAGTCACGTGGTTTCAGCCACCGTTGTGACTTTTTAAATACTCTTTTTGTATGCCTCTGCCTTAGGCCCAGATTTTTAGAACACAAAAGTAAATGGTTCTTAATTGTAGGTAAACAAACCAAAACATGGAATCTTGAAAGGGAGACTGCAGATGAATAAAAAAAAGTTGATGGCAAGAAATTGAGGGCTAATACAGCCTTTCCAACTTCATGCTGTTTTGAGATTACAGTTTACCAAATTCCCAACCAGTTTGACCAAAAGGCATTATATATAATCCTAGCTAAGGGATCACATTGGGTACTAAGAAGACTACTAAATGTGTAATTTTTAGGGTTTTCTCTTTCAGTGGTATGTATGTACATTTTTGGGAAGATGCTTTTGCAAAAATCAAGTTTTTATTATTTTCATTTTTTCAGGTCTTAGTGAGACTATTCAAGGACTTAATTTTGTAAGAAAGCGAAATAGCACCACCTTTTGGTTACTTGGAGGGAACTGAATATGCTCCGTAAACCAATCCTTTGCTTTTTGTACATTTAAAAGGGGGCAGGAATTGTTGTTCCTCTTAATTATCTCCCTCCCTCCCTCCTTTCATTCTTCTTCTTGTGAAGTCTCTAAATTTGAATCCTAATCAGAGTTCAGTTGGTACATCTCCCTTGAAGTCATTTAGTCTGTTTCATATTACCTTTTTAACTAATATTTGCAATTCACGAGCCCCTTAGGTACAATTTAGGTTGCATGATTGCTTAAATATTGCACTATTTTGCTTTTTTCATGGGGGCTTGGGCACGTCCATTTTTTTTCTAGATTTTCTCATTGTTATGTCACTAAAGGAATGGTTGTGAGTTGAAGATTACCTGTAGTGTGGGTCATCTGATGTACAGTAATGTGAATCAGAAAGATTTTGCCTTTTAGCAGTGGCAATAGCACTTAGACCTATATACTGCCCCATAGTGCTTTAGAGAACCAGCCTATTTCCCCCAAAAATCTGGATCCTCATTTTACCGATCTTGGAAAGATGGAAGACTGAGTCAACCTTGAGCCGGTCAGGATCAAACTCTGGACTGTGGGCAGAGTTAGACTACAGTATTGCATTCTAACTACTGTGCCACCAGGACTTTTTTTTCCCCTATGGATATAATAGTCACTACATGGGATTTATGTGAGCCTTAAAATTTGTTCCAATGTCTTTTTTGTCTGTTCAAAACACCTGCTTGAGACTCAACAACTGTGACCTATTAGGGCAAATCCATATGAATGCTCAAAAGTATTTGGGGAAAAAAATGTAAAATCATACTTCTCCTGTTACAGGTATCCACTTGCGAAACCTGCATTCTTACATTGAGATACCGGTCAAGTGCAATTATTGTGATAGTGCCTTCCATGAGCGTTACGCTCTGCAACAACATAAGAAGATACACAGAGATGAAAAGAAATTCAAGTGTGATCAATGCAGCTACACGTGCAAACAGGTATTTATGAAATGGCCCAGCTCTGGCTGCTGTTTATCAGATTTATAGACTTCCTTTTATGTAGGAGCTCAGCGTTCCCTTCCTCCAGTTTTTTCTGACAACAGCCACTCTGTTAGGTAGGCCGCGCAGGGAGAATGACTATCCTAAAATCACCCAGGGAGATTCCGTGGCTGAGCATGGACTTAAATTTGGATCTCCATGACTAGCTGTCCAGTTTTATAGAGCAGGGAGACAGGTTGGGTTAGAAGACCTCCAAGATCTCTTTCAACTCTGTTAGTCTGTTATATATGGGCTTTCGTTTCATGTAACTATTTCCTGATAACAAACTCCTACAGCACGGGTATCAAACTAGTCACGTGACTATCGCAACGTTTTTTGCCTTTGCAGAACCGGGGTAGGCATGGCCTGTGTGTGACGCATCCGGTCCATGGGCCGCCAGTTTGACACCCCTGTCCTTTAGAATATCAGCCTTTATTGTTGCAGAAGGGAGGAGTTATTGCTAAGCTATAGGGCAGGGGTCTTCAAACTTGGCCCTTTTATGACTTGTGGACTTCAACTCCCAGAATTCCTCAGCTAGTGTGCCTGGCTGAGGAATTCTGGGAGTTGAAGTCCACAAGTCATAAAAGGGCCAAGTTTGAAGACCCCTGGTATAGGGTCTGTGACCTCCTCTTTAGAGCAATATGCTCTCTTCCAGGCCACTTGACTGATCTGTACAGTATGTCACAATTAACATTTGAAAGGCCAGAGTGAAGATGAACAAAATTGTATTGGGTGAGATTGGATCATTATCCATTAATTCTGGGTTTCAAGAAAAGACAGAACTATTTTCTGAGATGGTTTGCCTCAGAAGGAATTGAATTTTCTTTCTGCTGAAAATGGTCTTATTTCAAAGTCAGGTTGCCCTCACATATCCTGGTTATTTAAATACCAACTTCAGAACTGATAGAAAAAAAAATGGCCATTCTAGCAGGTAAATGGGGTATGGGATGGAGAAATAATGTTGCATGTAATTTGATTCTTCTTTGCCCCTTAAGTTATCCCAATCATGGTTTGTCATTTGCCTGAATATTTGATGTTACTGAAATAAACTGAATATCTCATTTGGAGCTTATGTAGAAGTGCATTAAATTTAAAAAATGATAAGAGGTCTTGAGGATAAACCATATGATAAATGGCTAAGGGAACTAGGTAAGTCTAGCTCAGGGGTAGGCAACCTTGGCTCTTTTATGACTCATAGACTTCTATGCTATGCTGACTCAGGAATTCTGGGAGTTGAAGTCCATGAGTCATAAAAGAGCCGAGGTTGCCTACCCCTGGTCTAGCCTAATAAAGAGAAGATTTAGGGGTGACACGATAGACATCTTCCAATACTTGAAGGGCTGTCACTAGGAAGAGGGCATCACAGCACCTGCGGGTACAACAAGAAGCAATGGGTGGAAGCTTGTCAAAGGAAGATCCAACCTAGGAACCAAGGAGCAAAATCCTTGGCTTTGTTTTGATGAAGTCTTCTTTCTCCCAGGAACGCCACATGATTGTGCACAAGCGGACGCACACTGGTGAGAAGCCCTTTGTTTGCCTCTCCTGCAACAAGGGCTTCCGGCAGAAACAGCTCTTAACCGTTCACTTCAAGAAATACCATGACTCCAGCTTTGAGCCAAAGGTCTATGCATGTCCCAAGTGTGGCAAGGCCTATTCACGTTGGGTAAGATGACTTGTTTGCCTTTTTGGGGAGGTCTGTAACCATATACAACAGCTGGAGAATAATAGTTGTACTCAGTGGGTTCTGTGAAAATACAGGTTTTCACTCTCCCAGATTTAGCCTGCCATCTAGATGTGTTCAATTCTGATTCCCATGCTGCTTAATGATCACTGGACAGCAAAAAAAAATTTTCAAAAGTTTTGCTTCTTGAAAAACTTTTGGTGATTAGGATAGATCCCTTCAAACTGAACCCAAATATAATTTCAGAAACCCTAGATTACGTAGGAATTGTGAGATATATGAAATTAATGTTTAATGACCATAATGTATTTAATCGCATAAGGTTGCTGGCAGGCTGCATGAATTAAACAGAGCCCAAAGTGTTTTATTGCTGATCTTTGTTTGTACTTAGTATTCAATACAATTTGCTGAAGTGTCCAGTAGTCTGCCAGCATTAATGGATACCAGTTACAACTCTCTTACATGGCTGTCCCAATCACATGTGTAACAACAGTACTTGGTATATCCAAGCTGCATGCCAAACAACAAAACCACTACTTTTAGATCTCCACAGATATCCCAGTTGTACTTGGTGTATTGGATGTGCTTCAACAACAATTCCTTATTTTCGTATGTTTCTTTCATATCTGCAACTCAGCCAGCAGGTATTGAATGACATACACTGCCATTTTGTAAAAAGAGATTTCTACAAAACATTGCGTTATAGATATGTTTGTGATTAGCAGCCAAAAATCTATAAAATACACCCAAAGGTGTTCAGGAAGCAAGATCTTTATTGTCCAGGGCAGTGGTTCTCAACCTGTGGGTCGGGACCCCATTTGGGGTCGAACGACCATTTCACGGGGGTCGCCAAACAACGCAGTCCGCCATTTTTTCCCCCCTTTTCCTTAGCTGTGCTACTCCCTTTTATTCTATTGGCTTTTGAAAGCCATAGAATAGACTCTCTTGAATAGAGTCTAATTCTATTGGCTTTCAAAAGCCAATAGGAATTGTCCAGGCTGTCTCTGCCCTGCTGAGCCCGCCAAAAGTCCCATTCTGCAAACGGTGCTGCACCAGTTGAGTAGTCCTCGACTTACGACCGGTTGAGTAGTCCTCGACTTACGACCGTGGGGGGGGCGCGGCATTAAAAAGGTTGAGAACCACTGGTCCAGGGTGACAAGAAGTATAATTGTACTTGGAAGGTGCCAAATCAGTTGCTGTGACATAGGTGGCAGGACTTAATTTTCAGCCACTGTGGAAATCAAATTTTCCATTGGCTCATAATTGCTGAGGATGCACCTGGGTCATTCCCAGTGAAACCATGGATAGCTGCAGTTGTTACAACCCTGATTTTCTGCAAATGAATTAATGGTATGTGGGAATGACTTTGATAGACGGGGGAAAAGATGCCTCGTAAGGAATGGTCAGATAAGAGACAGCAGAGCCTACAGGTGAATTGTGAGCAGAAAGAAACCTTCCTAGGTTTTCAGGCTGTAACATTAACAGCAGGAGAACTGTATTTTCAGACTTGCAAGTCTATTAATGTAGCTTTACAATAAAGTAGAATTAGTTTATCTGGCTTTTTTCCTGCCTGGTCTATCTAATAAGGCTGACAAAAACATCATATGCCAGTGACATGGACAAGCATATAATTGGGACATGGGAAGAGGCCAGGAGTGTAGGAATGGATTGCACAAGCGCTCAAAAAGAACAGGAAAAGTGCTAAATTTTCCTGTAGTTCTCCCTCCCCCATTCTCTTGCCATTTGATGAACCACCTTTCAATGAAGGAAAAATTAGAGAATTCTTTTATGGAAGGAATATGAGAGACTTGAGTTTGTCTAGGACAAAATGGACAAGTGATGGTGTCTGTAGAAATCTCCTCTTTTGATTGTAGAATGTTTCTGCAGCCAAGTCTAGAACTTATTGGAGAATTTCTCCTTAGCCTGGAGAAATCCAGAGAAAACTTCCACTCCATTTCTTTGCTCATGAAGCTGATGGAAAATGTTGAGAGGCCTTTTGTCTTGTACTAATAAAAATAAAAAAAGGGATAACCACTGTGATATTTGGAGGGGCACATAACTAAGGCCGATTATCAGCAGACAGCCAGAACATGCAAAGATGAAGTCAGGAAAGCAAAGGCACAGAACAAACAAAGACTTTGAACAGAAGTCATGGATAATAAAAAAAGTTTCTTCCAACATATTAACAACAAAAACAAAATCAAGGAAATTGTAGGTCCACTAAAGAGAGAAGATGGCAAGGAAATAACAGGCAACAGGAAGAAAGCAGAGCTGCTTAACTTATACTTTGCATCAGTCTTCACACAACATACCAAAAAAAACATTGCCAAAGACAAACCAGAAACAAAAATTAAAATAAGCAAGAAAATAATAAGAGAACACCTATCCGAGCTTGATGAATATAAATCACCGGGGCCTGACAGATTACATCCCAGAGTTCTGAAGGAGCTGGCAGATGTTATCTCAGAACCACTGCACCACATCTTTCATAAATCCTGGAGCACCGGGGAAGAACCTGAGGATTGGAAAAAGGTTGATGTGGTTCCCATCTTCAAGAAAGGGGAAAAAATGGACCCAGGAAACTACAGACCACATCAGTTTAACATCAATACCTGGGAAGATCCTAGAAAAGATAATCAAAAAACAGATCTGCGAACAACTAGAAGCAAACAAAGTTATAATCAGTAGCCAGCACAGGTTTGTTAAAAAACAGATCATGTAAAACCAATCTTATTTCATTCTTAAAGTAGCTAAACTAATAGACCAGCGAAATACTGTGGACGTAGTATACTTAGACTTCATTTGATAAAGTAGACCATAACCTATTCCTTGGTAAGCTAGAAAAAGGTGGAATAGACAACATCACCACCAGATGGATCTGTAACTGTCTGGCAAACCATACTCAATGAGTAGTCCTCAATTGCACTACATCCACATGGAGAGAAGTAAGCAGTGGAATTCCACAAGGTTCCATCTTAGGCCCAGTACTCTTCAATATCTTCATCAATGATTTAGATGATGGAATTGCAGGGGAACTCATCAAATTTGCAGATGACACCAAACTGGCAGGAGTAGCCAACACCCCAGAAGACAAACTCAGGATCCAAAAAGATCTTGACAAACTTGAACAATGGGCCCTATCCAACAAAATGAGTTTAAATGTGGAGAAAAGCAAAGTTTTACATTTAGGCAGGAAAAATCAAAGGTACAAGTACAGATTGGGCAAGACTTGGCTTAAAAACAGTAACTGTGAGAGGGACCTTGGAGTCCTAGAGGACAGTCACTTAACCATGAGCCAGCAGTGTGCAGCAGCAGCCAAAAAAGCTAATACAATCTTGGATTGTATAAACAGAGATCACGCGAGGTATTAGTACCGCTTTATAAAACCCTAGTAAGACCATACCTGGAATACTGCAGCAAATTTTGGTCACCATATCACAAAAAAGATTTGAGAGTTTGGAAAAAATTCAGAGAAGAGCAAAGAAGATAATCAAAGGCCTGAAGACTGAAACATACAAAGAACAGCTGCAGGACTTGGGTTTGAGTAGTCTAAAGAAAAAAAGAAATAGGGGAGACATGATAGCAGTATTCCAGTATTTGAGGAGCTGCCAGAAAGAGGGGGTCAAATTATTCACCAAAGCAGCAGAGGGCAGGACAAGAAACAATGGTTGGAAATTGATCAAAGAGAGAAGCAACCTGGAATGAAGGAAAAACTTCCTGAGAGTGAGGACAATTAACCAGTGGAATAGAAATCGTGGGCTCTCCATCACTGGAGATTTTTAAAAAGAGGCTAGACAGTCACTTGTCTGAGATGGTGTAGATTTTCCTGCTTGAGCAGGAGGGCTGGACTAGAAGACCTCCAAGATCCCTTCCAGCTTCTATTCCAGTGATGGCGAACCTTTTAGAGACCAAGTACCCAAACTGCAACCCAAGACCCACTTATTTATTGCAAAGTGCCAGGGCCGCATCAGCATTGTGGTGCTCTCGGGGAGCTGGGTGTGTGGCCCACTGGGTGGGCATGGCCACTGAGTGGGCATAGCTGTGGTGGTCATAGCTGCAGTGGTCACGGCAGACTGGGTGGGTGGGCCAGGACCAGGGGGCGGGGACCAGTTCCTCACCATCTCCGGGGCATCCCCAGGGGGCCAACGCTGCTTGCTTGCTCACCTCCTGCCCCGTCACTTCCAAATGCCACATGCTTGCTACTCTGGCGAACTCTGCTGAGTCTCTTCTTTAAAAACCTCTATTCTGTTCTGTTCTGTTCTTTGCAGCAAGGATTCTGGGCTGCTGTCCCTGGCAGGGATGGGGAGAGGTGGGCAAGAGATTATTTTGAAGTTGCATAGGTAGACCTCGACTTATAAACATAATGGAGCCGGCCCATTACGGTTGCAAGCCATGATGTTTCTTAAGCAAGACGCCCACAGGGCCCTGCAAGCCTTAGGCCTGCTTCCTACCCAAGTGGGGTCCCATACTCTCCATCTCCCATCACCAGTGGATCACTACCTGCTGTAGATCTTCTGGAAGCTTCCAGAGATCCTGTTGCAAAAGGGGAGCAGTCTGCTCTGCCCCTTGGCCTCCCTGCAGGCCATGTGACTTTGGCCTAGAAGCAGCAACATTTTGAAAGTGTTCACAAGGAAGGTCTGTAGGAACCGGCGGGAAGGATGACATTGCAGTGTCCCTTCAGTCAGTCAGAAAGCTGGAAAGATTGCCAAGCACCCAAGTTTTGTTCACATGACTGTGGGGGGACTGCAGCAGCCGTGATTTCAAAATTGGGTCATAAGTACCTTTTTTGTGGGTTCATCTTAACCTCCAATGCTAAGCAACTAGTCATAAGTGGAGTAACATTGCTATATCAAACTTCCTAATCCTGCTGCCTGAAACTCTTGATTCCATCCTGCTTTGCTGACTTGGTTATGCTGGCTAAGGAAGGGCACTTCATGATTTCTCCCTTCCCTAAAACCCTGTTCATTCATGCTTTTAACTGGTTGGGTAAATTCTCTTTTGGCCTTTTCTTTCTGCATAGAATAACATGCGTAAGCACGCTGAAAAATGCAAGGAGGCCAGAGCTGTTGAAAGCTCTCCATCCTGCAGAGCAAGCAAGAGGAAGAAAAAAGAAAGACATCATCCTGTGGCCAAACAAGAAGGTAACAAATACGATGATCACAATAAAATGCAGCAAGAAGAAGAGCTTTGGGTGAGGGGGAGGGCAAGGAAGGGATGGTTTTTTTCCTGGCCAGGTTTACAATCTGCACATTAAAAAAAAAAAATAAGGCATTAGTTAATTTACCTTTTTATAATAGGTGTCATGGTTCCGACAGATGAAACTCTTCAAAGAACTTCGAGGCATTGTTTACCTTAAAGAATCTTTATTTGAATGGCATAGCTTCAGCACGTACACAGTCAGAAGCCAAAATCTGGACTCCTCTCCCCTTAGCACATAGTATCAAACACAATTCCCTCCTCTAATTAACAGTTATAAATCACATTCTCCAATTAGTTTGAAATGCAGGCTTTCCCTCCTTTACTCCAACCAGCCATTTCTTATCATCTCTTATTTCAAAAGTCCTGAATTCACACACTATTACAATATTATTATGTCTAACTAACTCCCATCACATTCCTGCTCCTCCCCCAGTATCATCTAATTCTAAGAGTAAAGCATAAGAAAGAAAAAGGCTGCATCTCCATATGTTGTCAAAGCAAGAACATCCAATGTTAGCAGCATTGACAATTCCAGCACAGATATAATTACATTTTGAAAATTGCAAAAATAGAAAAGCCATCAATACATCTGCATGTTAAAATGTGTTTCAGTAAAAGTGAAGGAAAAAAAAGACACTCCAGTTTTCTACTAAAATATTGTCCCCGAATACTGAGTTCATCACTTGACCCTGCACTGAGAAAACTCATCCCTGCTAATACAGATTTGTCCAGGTCTGGTTTTCCTCCCAAGACACAGACTTGAACTCTCAACATTGGCCATGCTAAATGGAGAGTTATGGAAATTAAAGTCTGTTTCATTGGAAATTAGAGTCTGTTCCTTTGCAGACGGACATTTTGGCCTCTTCCTGCATGCATTTTGGCTTCCCATGCTGATAATGAGCTGTCCATTAGCTGTTTCCACTGGTTCATTTATTATTATTTTATTTATTAGATTTTTATCCTACCTTTATTACTTTATAAGTAACTCAAGATAGCAGATATACTTAATACTCCTTCCTCCTCCTATTTCCTCCACTACAACAACCTGGTAAACGGTTGGACTGAGAGAGAGAGAGAGAGAGAGATTGGCCCAAAGTCACCCAACTGGCATTCATGTGTAAGGGGGACAAGAAATCACAGTTTCTTGTCACTGGCTCTATTACTGTTACTGGATGCATAATCAGCCAGATGTTTGGACTGGATTTGGCTTTTTTATCCACCTATCGAGCCCTTCCCAAGGATCTGGAACAGGCAAATGTTGCTTGATGGTGTTACAGATGTCAACACATAGGATGTAAGCTGTTCCAAGTAGAGTTGCCTTTTTCAATTGACTGATGGTAATTTTGTCAATGCCAATGATGCTTAAGTGGCGCTCCATATGTTTTGGGATTGCATCCAAGGGGCCTGTTATTACTTGGTACTATGATAATAATAATAATAGTAAAGTTGGAAGGGACCTTGGAGGTCATCTAGTCCAACCCCCTGCTCGGGCAGGAAACCCTACACCATTTCGGACAAATGGCTGTCCAGTCTCTTCCTAAAAACTTCCAGTGTTGGAGCATTTACTGCTTCTGGAGGCAAGCTGTTCCACTGATTAATTGTTCTCACTGTCAGGAAGTTTCTCCTTAGTTCTAGGTTGCTTCTCTCCTTGATTAGTTTCCACCCGTTGCTTCTTGTCCTGCCTTCAGGTGCTTTGGAAAATAGCTTAATTCCCTCTTCTTTATGGCAGCCCCTGAGATGTTGGAATACTGCTATCATGTCCCCCCTTGTCCTTCTCTTCGTTAAACTAGACATACCCAATTCTAGCAACCGTTCCTTATATGTTTGAGCCTCCAGTCCCCTAATCATCTTTGTTGCTCTTCTCTGTACTCTTTCTAGAGTCTCAACATCTTTTTTACATCGTGGTGACCAAAACTGGATGCAGTATTCCAAGTGTGGCCTTACCAAGGCATTGAAGAGTGGTATTAGTACTTCACGTGATCTTGATTCTATCCCTCTGTTAATGCAGCCTAGTACTGTGTTGGCCTTTTGGGCAGCTGCCGCACACTGCTGGCTCATATTTAACTGATTGTCTACTAGGACTCCGAGGTCCCTCTCACAGTTACTACTATTGAGCATGGTGCCACCTATGCTGTACTTGTGCATTTGGTTTTTCTTGCCTAAATGTAGAACCTTGCTTTTTTCACCATTGAATTTCATTTTGTTATTTAGTGCCCAGTGTTCAAGTCTGTCCAGATCCTTCTGTATCTGAAGCCTGTCTTCTGGAGTGTTGGCTATTCCTGCCAGCTTGGTGTCCTCTGCAAATTTGATGAGTTCCCCATCTATCCCTTCATCCAAATCGTTGATGAAGATGTTGAAGAGTACTGGGCCCAGAACAGAGCCCTGGGGCACCCCACTATACACTTCCCTCCATATAGATGCAGTTCCATTGAGGACCACTCGCTGAGTACGGCCGGTCAGCCAGCTACGGATCCATCTGGTGGTGGTTCTGTCTACCCCACATTTTTCTATCTTGTCAAGTAGTATGTTGTGATCTACTTTATCAAATGCCTTACTGAAGTCCAAGTAAATTATGTCCATAGCATTCCTCTGATCCACTAATTTTGTCACTTGGTCAAAGAATGCAATAAGATTTGTCTGGCATGATCTATTTTTGACAAACCCATGTTGGCTTTTAGTAATGACTTTGTTTGACTTTGTTTAGTAATGACTGTCTTTGCTTTCACTCTCAGTTCTTGTATTTTGTGTTTTTCTCTGTTTTTTTCCTCTTTTCTTCTGCATCTCTAGATACTGCAATGTCTATTATGCAGACTTTGTCTTTCTTAATCAACATTTGTCGTTGTTGTTATGTATGATGGACATACTTCTAAACTTTTTTTCCTTGCCAAATAGCCATGTTTTAGCACATACTAATTTTGCTTGCACACACAATAAGCTGCTACCCATTAGAAGCACCCTTTTTATCTTCTTCCTTTCAGACATTACAGAGACAGGTGAACTTGCCTTCTCTGCTTCCCCATAATATTCAGAATTATTCATTGCCACCCTCCCCAATGACAGTTTTATTGGTATAATTAGGGCCAGGGTTGATAAGGAAAATATAATCATTAATCAGTTTGAAACATGCAGAGTATTTTCAGTTTCAGAAGTCATGTATAAAAGTATTCTGTCTGCCTACATAATGAGCCTAGAGACCCTTATCATCACATTGCAATTTTTTTTTTCATACATTCTGGGCTCCCTGCCACATCCTTTCATCTACAGCCCTCCACAAAACTTACAGGGAGTCTTCAGCTTATTACCATAACTGAGCTTGAGAATTACAATATGCATTGTGACAGTTGTAAAGTGGATCATCATGTGACTGACCCCCTTTTTTGCAGCAGTTGTAAAGCAAGCCCCCTGGTTATTAAGTGAACCCATTCTTGATTATGGGCCAGATTTTGCTGGAAACCAGAAGTAAATGCCAGTTTCCAGCAAAAACATCATAAATTGCAGTGACATGGCTACTTCAAACAGCCATCAATGTGGGCCTGTTGCTGAGCACTCCCAGTATAGTCATGTGACTGTGGGCAGGGGGCACAGCTGCCAGAATCTGATCCTAAGTAGCTTTTGGGATCCATTTTAATTTCAAGTGGTTTGTAAGCAACTGTTCACAATTCAAGGACTTTTTGTAGTTGGGAGAATGGGGGTCCTGAATAACAGGACATAGAAAGGGGTTTGTTTTAAGCAGCTTGATGGTCTACTGATGAAGACATTCTCCTCCCACTCAGAAGGTTGAGAGTTCAATTCTATATAGCAACAAATGTTTCTCTCTCAGGGCACAAAGAAAAAATATCTGCTGCAAACTCCCTATAGGTATCAGGAAGGGCATCCGGCCAGTAAACACTCAGCTATATCCAGTCACCCCAACTCTACCCCAAATTAAGAGATTATAGGCTTGTAAAAAAGAAAAGTTTATAGCAAGGGGTTGTTGGGAGGAACAAAAAGAGGGATGCCAAAATCCAAGCAAGAGAAGTACTAATTTTTTGGCAGTCCATTGATTACAGCACTCTACAGCCCTCTTAGCCAATGTTCATCTTCACCTTGATTATTTTTTTCTCTTCAAGCATCTGTTTGTGTAAACACTCCTTTATGCACCCCGAAAAGTGTTTCTCTTGAAGCATGGGAGAAGAAAGAAACTGCTCTGGACGACAGTAAAGCAGGAATTACTTGTGAGATACTCTTCAATTTGATGGACAAATAACAAAGTGTTATTTTCCTTCTTTTTTTCCTGTTTACAAAGCAATGGCTTCCATTCTAGAAGAGCATAAAAACCCAGATGGTGATCTCCTATATTTTTTTTTGTAAAATTACATATAATTATTCATGGGTTAAATCTTGCTTGCCACGTTGTCTTTTGGTCTTATTCTGATAATACTATGTAGAGAGGGGACTCTTTACACGAAGTTAAATATTTGGAATCCTTTCCAGTGGTGATGATCCTTTCCATTGTTTGTAGCCCTAGAGTTTTAATTAACCAGAGTTAGACTTAAGCTGTGATACCAGTTTATTCTTTGATGGGGATGTTCCGCTGTTTTTTTTCCCTGGCAAATGCATCTTCAGGTCAGATTTAGATGTTAGTGTAGGGCCAGGGGTCTTTACGTTTTTGCTCCCAGTGGCATCCCGAAGCTTCTTCAATTCATATTGCAAAACAGATCCCATTGAACTGAATGGAAATCTTGGTTTTATCAATGTGTGATCCAAATTCATGAAAGTGGGTTATCATAAGAATTGAGTCTGAGCCATTCAAGTACTCCAACCATCAGTTAAATAGGAAAGTTTATAGAAAGAGTCTTGTACCAAAATGCTCCCACTTATTTCTTTTTTCTTTTAAATATGTTGTAGGTATCTCATAGAGATCAGACTAATTGAGATTTGTTTATGGTAATGGTGCAGTAGTCTTTTATTGTTTACTTATTTGACAAGAAAAAGCAGCAGTACTGTTAAAACTAACTGATGCATTGCCTGTATTTCATTAGAGCATTAGGACTTGTGAGATTTAAAAAAACCAAAATTTTATACTCACAATACGAAGATAAGTCTGGTTAACAAAACAAAGTTTTTGGAGAAAAACATAAAAATAATAATTGTTACATTTTATAAAAGAATAACTTTTATTTCCTTCAGACTGTTTCAAGGCTAACTGGGAAAAATTGCTGAGCTCTTGTTATTTAGGCACAGAAAAGTAAAGTATATTTGGTTCTTGTTTAATAAAAGTTTTGTGTACAGTTTGGTTTAATTCAGCTGTTTTCTAAAACCATTGGATGTCTGACTATCCTGGGTAAAACCAGAATTAAAGAACTCTGCTGTGTGAACATTCAGACATTTAAGGTTAGGACTTGGAAGCCCATGTATAAAATCTGTAATGATGTATTGCAATGATGTATTGCAAACTTAGATATCTGTTCCTAACCGCATCAACATCAGACAGACATAAAATATGAGAGCATGATACAAGCTTGCATTTGCACTTGCATCACAACATCATATGCATGTAGTAAGGGTCCAATCAGGCATCTACCAAGAGTAAACAGCAATCCTTTCCTGCCATTGCTCCCAAACATGTTCAAGTACTGGGAGAGAGGGACAGAAAACACTCTATTCATATTTTCAATTTCTACTTTCACTTCACCCTCAAAAGCCCTAGAACTTGTAGTCTTTCCCTCTTAGGATTTCTTAGTTCCTTCATTATTTCAGGATCTTCTTTGTGCCTTTTCCAGCTCAAGGTGATGTTTCTACCTGTTGTCTTGGGAATCTAATTCTATCTAAAGCCTTTTAAAAATGGGAAGGGGTCCTGGGAGAAAAAAGTTTAAGAAACCTTGGCCTAGGAGAATAAAAATTATGGGCCAGGTGAGAAACTTAGGGGGAAAAGTGAGAAATCAGAACAAGCTATCATTTGAAGGAATACATCTGGCTGGCCTTTGGACTAGGAAGTTACTAGGCTTAATTACTCCTTCAGGGGGAGACAGAATAACAGAGTTGGAAGAGATCTTGGAAGTCTTTTAGTCAAGCAGGAGACCCTATACCATTCTGGACAAATGGCCGTCCAGTCTCTTCTTAAAAACCTCCAGTGTTGGAGCACCCACAGCTTCTGAAGGCAAGCCATTCCCTGGATTTATTGTTCTCACTGTCAGGAAATTTCTCCTTAGTTCTAGGTTGGAACTCTCCTTGGTTAGTTTCCATCCATTGCTTCTTCTCTTGCCTTCTGGTGCTTTCAACAATAGTTGATCCCTTCTTCTTTGTGGCAGCTTCTCAAATATTGAAACACTGCTATCATGCCACTAAACTAGACATCCCCAATTTCTGCAACCGTTCTTTTAACTTCCAGCCTCCTAATCATTTGATTACAAGGACATTACAATGCTATAGATTAGGCTGAGAAATCAAATCTGGGAAGAAGGCATTAGGAAGTCAATTCTGTACTGTTCTCAAGGGAAAAAAAAACATTAATGGGTGTTGTATTGATGACCCCAGAATTCTAAAGAGAGTCCTTGGACATGAGGGGGAGTTTAAATTTTGTTAGGATAACCATCCTCAGGAACAGTTTGAATCATAAACTATATGCATTCAATTATGCTATATTTATTACACATAAATCCCATATGTTAATCGTCTGGAAGAAAATAATCTTCCTCTGAAAGGCAATCAGTTATGGAAGCAAGAACTTCCATAAAAGTAACTATTACTCCATCTGAATTTGATGTCCACTATGAATACTTTCCTCAAGGTGGCGATAGAATTTCATGTTTATAGTATTAGATAACAAGCTTTAAGGATTTTGCTCTTTTCAGGAAGGAGTATAATGTTTTGCAGGATCTTGTGGCCATCCAAAAGTGAACAAATGGAATAACCGTTTGTTATTCAGCTTTTGTTAGCTGAGTTGGGGTGGAGTTGATAAAAGTCTCACTGGATGGTCAAGGAGGGGTGGCGACCGCAAACACTGAGGTAAAAAAAAAAATGACAAGTATTAAAGATGATTCAGGGACTGCTATTTGCCTTAATAAACTTAAAGGGACAGTTTTTCTCCTTCATGAATTATGATTCGTATTCTGCTGCATTTTATGTGTAATTCTTTTATTCAAGGATGGCCATACTGAGGTTAGCACAGAGACTAGTTTCACATTAAGCTAAGTTTGCTTTAATTGTGGTTTATTGCATAAACCATAAATATTGCCTTCATTCAACATGTTGAGCCATTATCAAGCCACAATATACTTAGCAGAGATGGAAATCTCTAGAGCAGAGGTCCTCAACCTTGGCAACTTTAAGACTTGTGGATTTCAACTGGCTGAGGAATTCTGAAAGTTGGAGTCCACAAGTCTTAAATTTGCCAAGGTTGAGGACCCCTGCTCTAGTCTAGACCAAACTGGCTCTCCACTGCAGAATAACTGAAGAACAGAGTTGGAAGGACTTTGGAGATTTTCTATCAGACCTCCTGATCAAGCAGGAAACCCTATACACATTTCAGACAAATGGTTGTCCAATCTCCTTAAAATCCTCCAGTGTTGGGACACCTACAATTTCTAGAGGCAATCGGATAACACAATTCTAAATGTCTTTATTGCTGCACAGGTCAATGGGACTTGGGACTTCTTAACTAGGTGTGCACAGAATTGCACTTGGATTGATTAAGCAGACCTCTTTGGGACACTCACGCATACACCCAACTATAGTCTGCTACTTGGAAAGAGAAGTGACCGTTGTGCTGCTAAGCAACACCTGCTAGATTTCTATGTCTTCCTGCTTTCAATCACCATTAATAAACTTGAGTGCCTGGGGAAATGTTTGTTGGAATTGTTTAGGGTCAGGCCAAAAGTTGGGTTTTTGTACATCTGCAAAGTTGGGTTTTTGTACATCTGCATCATTCACAGACCGTTTGCAAAACTGGTGACAGGAAATGCTGGTGTGATACAATGAATCCCATACTGGGGTGGGATCCAGGAGGGTTCAGCATGCATTGGAGACCCCCACCCTATCCTTAAGCCTTCATGGAACCTGTCCAGTTCACATGGAATTCAAGAGTTCCCGGAATCCAGTTTGAAACCCCTCCCCCATATTTAAGCATTTTTTCTTTGTTTTATTTGATTCAAGTCAAGTGCTTAACATATTTCAATCTGATTAGGAATGTATACAGAAGGGAGAAAACTTTCCTTTGTAATTCTTGTCAGTGAAGAATATCTTTTCCAAAGCTAAGGAGGGACTGTTAAACCACCAGAGTTATATACAACCCTCTTAAGATCAGCTCTCAAGAGTCTTCCAGAAGATGTTAGGGCTATTTTTAATATGGCAAAAGGGCATAGCTATTAAATACCTGACAGGAGAATAGCTACTACATTAAATTTTGATTTAAGTTAAATATGCAGATTAAGGATAAAACAATGAAGTTTTTGTTTTACTTCAATCAAAGATCAATTGTGTCTTCAGCCTAGAAAAAGTTGTAGATCCCTTCTTTAGAAGATGTAAAAGTTGCAATACAATCCAGATTTTACATCCAGCTTGATTAACTGGTTTTCTGGGTTTGGCATTTGGCCTGGAGAGATTCCGTTCTATTGCATTCTAAGCATGAAAGTGTAAAAATCAAAGGCTGTTTAAAATGAGAAGATGTACCTTGGTTGATTCACCAATAAATATTTTTGCATTGTTCAGAATGCAAATCTAACATTAGCAACCGCATTACTGAGCAACATAAATTCAGGTCCAGAATTACCTGCAAGTAATCGATTCACCCAAAATGACTTTTGGTAGTTTGTGTCTAAGTTAACCTTTGAACCTATCTGGTTCCTTGGTCTTTATCTCCGTTGCTTAAAATGTTTTTTTTTATTATTACTTACTATCACATTTATACTCTGCCTTTCTGTTTATGCAAGCCCTCATTTTATCACTAAAGAGGAACATCTGTTTACCATGAGGAGAGAGGCAGTCTGCTTTTAGTCAGAAACTGCTTTGAACTCCTCCATGTTCCTGGCACTGCCCTTTGGAGAAGTGCAGCTGGGCTCCCCCAAGCTAGCAGCTTCAAGGAACTGCTCCATGCTTGGGGCCCCCAGCCAGCCCATCTGGCAGATGGTTGCTCACTCCGGGAGGCCCCGTCTGCAGGCAGCCTGCCCTGCCACTGGCACTTCCTCCCCTGAACAGCAGGCAAACACCTGGGAACAATGGGCTGCTCAGAGGCCCAGATGATGAGAGATGACAGGCGCGTAGATGGGCAAGACAAGATTACTGACGAGAAGAGCCGTCCAGATAATTGCTCTAATTATATCCTGCGAATTCTGCACCCATCTCCAATGGGCTTGTGCTGTAGCCCACTGACAATGAATGCAGCGGCTCTGGCAGCGGGCTTCCACCCCTGCCTTTCAAAATTGCCTCTCCCGTGCAAAGCCAAGTGAGAGATTTGCAGAATTCCGTTTGTGTACTTAGATAAGCTGCCTCATCTTTTCCTCAAAAGCAGGAAATCCTACTGGATTTCAATGGCTGCATGCCTAAGATCGGATGTGACCTGCCACACAGAATACAAGGAAGAAATGCTTTCAAGCCCCTCCTTCCCCCCCCCTGGAGAAAATCTAAAGCAAGGTGGGAACCATTTTAGGATGTTCCTTTCCTCTTCCCATCTCTGTGCCGTCCTTTGTAGCAATGCTTTTTTTATTTATTTAAAAGTTTTATAAATTTATTACAATATAACCCACCCCACCCCTTCCCCCACGTCCCAGAGCTGATTAGAGGATAAAAAATAAAATAAACAAACATAATCTAGCTAACATAAACTAACTATACTATCTATCAAAACCATAACACACTTTAACTCCTTCTCCAAACAAATATTAACAAATCAAAAATAATAAGATAATTAAAACTATTAATAATTATCTAAAATCTACTCAAAAGCAAGATAATACTTTTCAATCTCATATTTCTTCTGAATGTAATCAATCCATCTTCTCCAAACCATAATATATCTTTCTTGTGAATGATCCTTCAAATAGGCGGAGATTTTTGCCAAAACTGCTAAATTAGAAACTTTTAAGTATCCATTCTTCCAAAGTAGGCAATAAGTTTTTCTTCCAATATTGCCCCACCAATAGTCTTGCAGCTGTTCAACGTCAAATTAGTTTCTTTAACATCAAAATCTACAATAATACCCAACAAAAATAATTGCGGAGTAAACTTTATCTTTCTCTTAAAAATCTTTTGAATATTCCACCAAATCTTAATTCAAAAAGCTTTAATATCTCTA